TAGCAATAACAATAAAATAATATACTTGCTAAAGATAACATTCGTAAGTAGAAGTGTAACAGCATACTAATAGTAGTGACGACTATAATAATAGTAAGGAATATATATTATCAACGAAAATTAGTAAGACTTTAACAGTGAAATAATATACTGATGGCAAGATCTGGTGATTTATTAGTTTACAAAAGAATTTTATATTTTCTGAACCAATACTGAATATTTCTCTTTGTACTAGTACCGTCTCGATAACAACATGCAACATTATTCATTGCTGCTTTAGAACCCATATTAGCAAATTTTTTATAATATGCGAAGGAAAGGTATAACATACAGCTTCGACAGGTAATTTGATATACCAACTAACAATCATTGTAATCATTTTAATAAGCGCAAACTAATGGTAAGTTTAATACAAAAATAAATTCAATATATGAGAAGCATACTATTTGATAGAGAACTAACGTAGTGAAATAATAATTATCCAATAGAAAAAGGAATTCTAGAAAATCAAAAGAAAAATTAAAAAGATAAGTGTTGTAGAAGATTATTATTACAGTAAACTCCATTTTTTTTTTAAATATTTCAACGCCAATCTAATTCAAACCACCTTGATATATTGTTAATAAAAAAATAAGTTCTAAAGAATAGGATGAGTGATTAAACCGGTAAAATAGAATGAATAAGAACGTATTAACACCAAATCAAAGATTAGTAAGACTTTAATATTGAAATAACATACTAGCAGCATGATCTGGTGCTTTATTAGTGTCTAAAAGACTTCTAAATCTTATAAATCAATAATTTGCTTTCTTAATAGCTCTCTTTGTACTGGTACCGTTTCGATAACAATGTGCAACATTATCCGTTGCTGCTTTAGAACCCTTATTAGCAGATTTTTTATAATATGCGATAACTTTAATAGGAAAAGAATATAACATACGGCTTTGACAGGTAATTAGATATACCATCTAACAATCATTATTGAATAAGTGTAAACTGATGGTAAGTTTAATACGAAAAATAACTAGAAGCATACTATTTGATAGAGAACTAACATAGTAAAACAATTATTCAATAGCGAACGAAATTCTAGAAAATCAAGAAAAATTGAAAGATAAGTGTTGTGAAAGGTTACTACATTACCATTTTTCTTATATTCTAACACCAATCTAATTCAAACCACCGAATACAGTATTACCTTGAAGCATTGTTGAAGAGCCTTATAATTCAAATAAGAACATAAGTTCTAAAGAATAATATACAGTATTAGGTTGTAAGTATATTTTTTAAAATCAAAATTCTTTTTAATTTCTAAAAAAAATAATAACACAAGTTTAAACAATATATATATGAATATAACTATTTTTTAGAATGAATGATTAAACAGGTAAAATCAAACGTATTAATGCTAAATCAAATACCACGTATGAACGATATTAACACAAGCTTAAACAATATACATACAAATATAACTATTTTTTAGAATGAACGATTAAACCGGTAAAATCTAATGTATTAATGCCAAATCAAATATCACATATGAATGATCTCAATATAACGTTAAATTCAAATACCTTTGAACAACTTCAATATAACGTAAATCAAAATTACCAAACAACGAACGACTTCAAATATCGTAGAAGCACAGAAAACTGAGAACCAGGGATAATTTCAGTGTTCAAAGCAAGAACTACAACGAACTACTGGTAATTCTAATAAAGAAGAGTGCAAATCCAACTTATAACAAGATTCAGAAAAAAAAAAAGCAATGGCGATTGTAAATAAAGCTAATTTTTAGACTATGGTTTAACTTCGTAATTTCATATTACTAATCAAAATCTTATTTCATTACACAGAAACTTTCTATGCATATCACAGGAAATCCCATGACATGTCACAGCATTCCCGTGACACTTGTGCGTGACATGTCACGAAATTTTCTGTATGACTTGGCACGGGATTTCCCATGATATGTCATACAAAAATCCTGTAACATGTAATACAGAAAATTGTATGACAAGTTACACAAAAAAAAGGCCCAGTTTCATTATAATCTGATTTCATTATAATCTGCCACAATAACTGATTATTCATTAGGTTACTATATAAATCATATGGCTTTGTCATGTCATTTATATTGTTTTCTACGAATAATCAGTTTTTATTACAATTTAACTGATAATATTTTTATTCATAAAGTCTGACATAAGCACTGTCGTTTTCATATATATTATTCAATTTTTCTAATTATCAGACTCACTTTTACTCTTTTTTTACATTTGCTTACTTTTCTACTTTCGCTTATCATTTTTTTCATTTAACTTTTTTTTACTTTTTTTTCCTTCATTAAATCTTTTTTTCCTTAACTTTCACTAATATGAATTTTATAAGTCATGCAAAAAGAAATAACATCAAAAAATTGAATTATTACATGATTAGAAAGTAATTGAATAATACAAAAAACGTTTAGTATGTACATAGGACCTGTCAGATAACAAGAAATTATTAGTCACATGATAGATAATATTACAGTAAATCATAGAAAAATAACGATAAGATTAGAAGTTTTAAACATCAAATCATATAAACCTTTAGAATTCGAATCTGCCCTATCACTACAAATGTCAATTATTCTTAAAATATCTTTTAGTTAAACTTTATAATTTAGTTGCCTAAGTTTTTTAAACATTTGAACAATAATGTTTTGGTTATACGATTACTTTTTGATGATTTCGAATTCTACAGATCAATAGAATTTGAAAATGTACTTAGACATTAAATTATTAGATAATTTTTGAGGTAAGTATTTTTATTTATACTAAAACTTATAGAGATTAGTTAAAATTTATTTATTATTTTTTTTTAATATCCTAACTTAACTACTATCATGTGATGAATAATCTAGAAAAGTCTTAAAAATGAAAATTTAGTGCAAAACATCTAATATTACAGGTGAATTGTACATTCGATAATCTATACTCTAAAATATAGATTTTTATAATATAAAGCAACTCGCCAGAAGCATGACGTTGGTGATTTAGATTATAATACAGTAATATTTGAGTTAATGCAAAAAAACGAGGAATTAAAGAAATATTTTAATTATAAGTAAGTTAAATAATGTGTAACTATTTACTACTATATTCATCAGTTTCAGATTGATTATTTTTTTGTCTTTTTTCTTTTTTTTTTTGTTGTTTGAAGTCTGCTACAGTATTTTTAACTAAATTTTTATTTGCCCTTCCTTTTGAAATTTTAGGTTTAGTTAAATAGACTTCTTGTGCAAGTAGGTCTTGCATGCGTTCTATTCCGTGTTGGTAACAAGTTTTCATATTAAAGTATTCTTTTGAAGTATTTTGTATTGTATAATCAAAAAAAGAATGATTATTAGGATCTGGATCTTGAAATGCATTATATATTTGATTGCTTAAAATCCACAATTGCTTACATCAATCTGGTGCAGCACAGTCATCAATATTTATTATAGTGTCAATGAATTCATCAAGAACTGATAATCTTTCAATTTCATCTTGACTTCCTTTTATTTGTCAATGTAAGTTTTCTTCATCTCCAGACCTTCCTGTCATTACTTGTTTAACAAATTTAACACTATATGTTTCTAATGCTTCATCATATGCTAGATAATGTCCTTTATGTGTTATATTAACAGACGGTACTTGATTTAATCTTTTTTGAAGTTGAGGATTTTTATATAATCTTCCTAAAAAAATAGCAACTGATTCAGCATATCTAAACTTGCTAGTAACTAGAAAAAGAGGTGCAAATGCAGCAAGACTTGCAATTTGCAAATCAAAATTTCCTCTTCAAATACCGATTTTATGTGCTTTCCAATAACTAGCCTACCGATAATAATTAAACCAAACTTTTAAAATATTATTTAAACTATTTTTAATATGATTAATAGTTTTTCCTGTATTTTGTAGATAATGATGAATTGCAATTCCAACTGCTGCCTAAATTAATTCAAGAACTGCACAAGTCATGCGATAATCTGATCCTTTTTCCAAATTTTCCAAATATCGAACACTAAGTAGTGCTGCCATGTTAAAAAGTCCATATCCAAAAAAGGCTGTTATTAAAGCTTGGTACATATCTTTAGAAGTATGCCATTGTTCAAGAATAATATTAACAGTAAGATTTTCATTTTTATAATTTTTAAGTCTTCGAAAAATTGCTTCATCACATGCGATATCAATCATGGTAGTATTTACTATATCATTTAAAAACATATCGCATATTTTATATACGTTCTTATTAGAATTTGGTGCCGGCCCAGGATTTAAAATTATTATCTTTGGCTTGTCAAATTTGCATCCAACTTGAATATTTTCAATAACTTTTAGATGAATATCATTAATGTCAAAATTATTTATTTTTTCTAAAAGCAATTCTTCAAAAATTTTATCATAATTTTTGTTTAGGTCTTCTGTAACCGTCGATAGTTCAATTGTAACTTGGTCCAATTGTTCAGAAAAAAAGATTGAAGTTGGTTGTAAGCTTGAAGAAAGCTTAAATTGAAATATTATTCGAAGAGTAGCATGTGCAGTTTTTTGTGCAATATTATATATATTTCCATACATAAATGTTTTTTCTTTTAAGTCAATATTATCGATAACTGACAAATTATAAATATTATTTTTAACTCCAAGCCTTTTATTAGGATTAAAACTTTCCATATGCTATCTTTCTGTACGAACTTTGTGATTCCAAACATAAGAAATTATATGTACAGAATAAAGAATTTTATGAAGCTTTGAAATCATATGTGAACATCTACAAAGCGAACCCAAAACATGAGATAACCAAATTTTCCACTTGCAAAAAGCAATTCCCATTATAATTGATACTAAAAAAATTATAATTTTGTCAACTGCCATTAAATCTAGTGGAATTGATAATGATCCACAGAGTCTTCTTTGTCATTCTGCGATTTTATGTTTTTTTTAAAAAAAAACTGTAATAAAGCTACTAAAAAAGGACTACGAAGTTCGGGGCAATGCTTCAGCATATTGTTCAAGAGACTGTGGATTTTCTAAAATTGGTAAATCATTTTTAAGTGATATACAAGATTGCCATAAAGACTCTTCAAGAAGATTTCCAAAGTATGTATATTCTTTTTCTTTTAAATACTCTGCTTTTGTTTTAGCACTTAAATTAATTTTTGCTAATTTAAATGCTATTTGAACCATTAATAAAGTTGGTAAAACTAGCTTATCAAGAGAATCTATTCGTTTATGAACTAAATCTCATGGCAGATATGGTTTTAATATCTCAATCATTGGCAATAATAACCAAATAAGTTGCTGTTTTTGTAATTTATTATCTGATTTTGCAACTAACTGAATCCAATTTCCAAATTTTTCTAGGATTACAGTTAAGTCATCATGCTTACTATTACAACCAAACTCTAAAACTCCTCTATCTAATCTTTAATGTAAGTGGCCACCATTATCCTCCAAACACTCCACGCAAATATATAAAGACTGCATATTATTTGTTGATGGAATAGAAATTAAAAGGCAAGGCTCTAACGCTTCGCATATTCGTAATCCTAAACATGCAACTTTAATATTGCGTCCATATACTGTCCATGAATGCTTAGAGCAACCCTGGCCATGTGTAAAATAACACTTATATTTATAACAAAACATGCATTGTGTATAATTAAGAATACTTTGGTCTATTCCTAATTGTTGAATATTTTTATAGAGCAGTTGATTTAAATCAAAAAGAAAATGCTGATAACAGATACCAAGTTCATCTAGATTTTTATTATATTGCCTAATAGTATCATAATCAACCTCCCAAGTACCTTTGAGTTAAGCAAGAGGCCGGTTAGAACCTCCAGTATTAATTTTGTGACATCATTGCATTTTTCTTTCTTCATTGTCATTATCTACAATGATACAAGGTGTGTATCTATTGTTATTTACAGATTGATTTAGTATAATTTCATCAGTCATTTCATCAAACTCATATTTTCTTCTGCTTCATTATTAAGGTCATAATCTTCATTTTCATTATTACTATTCTGCTACAAAATTTTATTCTTAACACTTTGATATGTATCTGTTTTGAAATTAAAAATAAAAAAGTTTTCTATTTCATTTACAGATTCACTTTCATTATAATTAACGTTTTCCATAATATTTGATTATAGTGCAAATTGAGAGTTACTATTATGGCTTGTGATACTAGGATAAGTTTTTTTTTAATATGATTTTTATAGTTTTTGTAAGCAAATATGTTGATAATTTATTTAATAAATATAGAATTACAAAAAAAAAAAATTTTCAAGACAATAAGTTCTATTTATACATTTTTTTAATTATTACAATTACATTTATTACATGATGTTTTAAATTGCTCAATTACCTAATTACTCAATTACCCAGTCTCTCAATAACCCAATTGCTCAATATTACTTAATTACCTAGTTACTCAATTACCCAATTGCTCAATTACTTAATAACCCAATAGCTATAGCTCAATAACCCAATTGCTTAATCACCCAATGGCTATAGCTTAATCACCCAATTGCTCAATCAATCGTTATTTCCCACATTGTGCATTATTAATTAACAACCTCAATTATTGACAATGCAATTTTTTTTAATTGCTCAATCATTCAATCACTCAATCATCTAACTGTTAATCGCTCAATCATTTAATGGTTTCACGTAAACCTAATAAAAAAAATAAATAAATAAATAAATAGATAAATAAATAAATGTCATAGCTGATACTGAAAACAGCTGATGCTGAAATTTGGGGTCTCTATTTAAATCTATAATACCTACTAAAATCTACATATACATTTTTATTAATA